TTATCGGATTACTATTATAAATGCGATAGGTACTGTGTGTATGCATGTTTGTTACTCGTTCTCGTTGTATTGCTACATATCCGGAGGTCCTGGGTTCGACTCCCAGTTTAGGCCAGGTAAGATTATTTAGTTTTTTAGAAAACTCTCATTAACAGCCTATATAAGTGTTACACTTCCGTGATTCGGCGAGCATGTAGAGCCTTCGTCCCCGCGCTTGACCGATACCGCTCGTACCGAATTGTTATCCGAACGAACTTTGAGGAAAAAAAAAGAAACAGAGAGTAGGGTAGTTTTTGCGCAAATACTTTTGCACTATAATATCTCCTCACTCACTGGCTAGTCTCAGTAAGGATTTATATATAAATATTTGTAATATTTGAAAAAAATATCATTAGATTAACATGAATATGGCGGTTTAAAAGCAAAGCAGTAAACGATAAATTGAACTTTGTTAATTAGTTTGGAACAATCTTGCACCACTTTATTAGTTTATTACTCAGTTTAACTTTGTTTTGAACTCAAAATGACAACAACGTAAAAAACTTTCACAGCCCTTCATTCTCGTTAATTTGATATTTTATTGGTATAAAATACGAAAACTTTACGCTGTATAACTGATTAAAGTTAAACGCAGTTATATTTTAAAATAAGCTATTTATAGAAAACTTCATTAAAATCAGTCCAGCAATAACGAGAATAAACAAAATGACCAAAAAATTTTATTTGAGTTGAACTCTAACTACTGATAAATTGTAATAATTATCCATGAACGAATGTAATTATCTTAAGATTCAATAAAAAACCCCACAGTAAGTAATAAATTTTTGAAAATCGTCAAATCGACATATTTTATCCCTGCTACCCATGTTAGCTGACACAATCGAGAATTTTCGTAAGAGAAAAAGTTGGGCGTCACATCAAAATGAAGCTACTCACGGAAAATTAGTATTATTAATCAATAATGTAAAAATACACCTGAGATTCTGGACTGTAAGAGCTGTTTTAATCTAAGGAAACATAAAATGATTACGGTTGTCAATTTACAACATAAGTTAGGATAATTTTATTATTTAATATTCATAATATCAGATACACCGAGTCAAAGTACTTTCGTACGCGCCTTGTTTCTTATCTTATTAGTGCCCTGAGGACGTATAATGGAAACCTACTTACACGAACTAATTACACGTTGTCAGTTAAGCCCCTGTCTGATATTCTCGCATTGCATTCTTTATAATTGAAATAATGCAGTTTAAATAAAACTATCTTTTCGGATTTTTTTGCGGATTTATATTAATTTTTGGTTCCCGTCGTTTTGAATGATTTACAGCAATCATGGTCACGGAAAAGACTAAGGTTTTAGACGTCTCAAAAAGAATATCAAAACGATAGTTTTATTTAAAATGTCAAATATTCGCTTAAATCTATAAAATAATTTGTAGCTACTAAATGTGTCCCCTGTTTAAAACGGGATTTAGAAACGAATTTACAGGAGGGATGATATATAAATATATTGGGACATTAACACACAGCACCATCTAGTTCCATGGTAAGCTACGAGGCTTGTGTTATGGATACTAGATAGTTAATACACTACGAATATATAAATTTAAATACATACATATTATAAATATAAACACCCATGCCTGGAGTACAAGCATTCGTGCTCATCACACAAATGAATGCCTCCAGCGGGACTCGAACCCGCGACCGCTGGCACAGTAAATAGGGTCACTACAAACTGAGTCAAATGATGTTATACATATAAGCGAAGATACAGGTTCTAACCTGCCACGTATGTGGGACTCCCATAACAGATATTTTTAAATATTATGTTTGCTAAAATTGGAAAGGCCTTAATTTTTTATTTTATATTATATAGAGGTTTCCCGTTCTTAATTGCACCGGAGCTTCCGTACTTCTGAAATCGGCCTTGGGCTTTCATATAGCAACCTGTAGATCAAAAAAGTATATTTAAAACTAAAGTAAAAGGAAGAATTGTTAAAATAAAACAAGAATTATTAAATTTCTTTTTAAATTAATTGATTAGAAATATCGACTCGAAATAGATCTCGACACAGATAAGATCTCTGGAGTAAATAATAAGCTCTTAGCGACTACTTACGCTTGTTACTATTCTTGTATTTAATAAAAATAAACTAATATATAAGTAATAACAAATGAAATATTACAAATTCTCTATTAATATTACAAAAAAAAATCAAATGTACTAACTTTTTGTCATAATTAATAATAATAATAATTAATCGAAATACTTTTAATGACTATCGTTTCTAGTGGCACTAGTTGGCGCCACTGGCGAGTGAGGTCCTATCCTTGTTAGTGCGGCAGGGCCAATAAATGTCATATAATAATCATAATTGTTAGCGAGAAAACAGTTCTATTAGGTTTTTAAATAATTAATAATAACCTTATAAATGTAATGTTTAACTTTTTATTAACTCTTGTTTTAAAGAAATAAAATTTATTGAACCGTACCGTGTCTACCATAATTAACCAGGAATGGCACAACCTTTACAATAATCGCTAATAAAATTAATAAAGATCTGCGATATACAGCTCCCAAACAGTAAACTTTCAGTACCATTTCCATTTGACATTTCTATAGACCTCACTCTACACTAGCGCCTCTCGTGGCGAATTCAAGCGCGGTAACTGTCATTGCGAAAGTTTGTGCATGTGTGTTAATCCTCCACTCTGAAACGGCTGGACCGATTTGGATGTATTCCAGTACACAGATAGACCATGACTAGGAGTAACACATAGGCTAATATTAGACATCTAGTACCCGGGCGAAGCGTACTTACCTTAGTTAACAAATAAATTGTTTTAAGACAAGTCTATTCAAAGTATTATCAATATAATCAAACTACGATTTTGATTGTATATATTCTAAAAGTTCGTATTTAGTACTAATATTTATTATAATTTAAATACCAAAAATATTATATTACTGACATTGCCCGCAGCTCCGCCCGCGTTCAGATGACCAAAAACCAAATTCTTAGGTTTTACATATTAGTATACTCTTACATTGCAGTTTTTGTATTTTTTCTCAGAAATGAGACATTTTCCCGCGGTAAAAAGTATCCTATATGTTGATCCGGATAACCAGCTATCACCATACCAAATTTCATCATCTGTATTAATAATAATAATGTTTATTTCAATAAGATTTTCCAAAAAATATTTAACTAGAACAGATTCGGCTGAGTTACAATTTTATTATATGTATAGATTATATTTAGTGTAACATCTGAACTCAGAAGCATAGATTTGCATTTTAAACAGTCTCACTGTTTTTCATTTTGCAAAATTTTCTATTTTGATAAAAATTTACTATGTACCTAACAATAACTTGTAATGGATTAAGCTTGAGTCCAGCTAAGGGACTAATTTAACTGCAAATTACCTTAACCCAAATATTTATTGCGAATCTCATTAATTTTAAAAGGTTATTTATCACCTACATAATTACAGTAACTGGGCAAATGTGAACCAAACTAGCACTAGCTCTTTGTCTAATTACGCCTTGCACTCGCACTGCGACACTCGAGTCGTAGGCCAACTGGTGATAAAGTAATATTCAAATAATTTAATATATATTAAAAGACAATAAATTGATAAACGATATCTATTCAAACATAAGATCTAGGTAATTATAAACAATAGTATCGATTAAAACAAAATTTGCACTAAACTATGAAATAAACATAAACTACCTATTAGTAATTCTAATCAGTTTGTATTTTTATTATGGTGTTTTCACTCTTTTTAGGGTTTCGCAGTCAAATGGCTGAAACGAAACCTTTATAATTTCGCCATGTCACTCGAAGGCTTTTGGAACTACATTGCTGAGTAGATAAGGTAGGCATGAACCGCTAAACAATACCTTAGTCAAATTATAAAATAGAAAAAAAAAATATAAGGGTCAAGGATGGTATAACTAAACGTGGTATACACAATAGGTACAGATAACTGAAGAGTAAAATAGTGCATATGAACCGTGGGTAATGTGCAAAGAAACTCTGGATAGGTATTTAAAATTCAGATAGATTATTCTAAGTGACTTTTTAGGCAAGCTAATAGTTACAGAGTTGGTTGGTACGGTACGAAATGTTTACGATTTTATAATCATATATACATTGTCACCTAACTTTAGATAAAAGTCGAAAAATACTGATAAAAAATAAGATAATAGAGCCAAAATACTTTCAACGAAATGAAAAAAATATATATTGTAGAAACAAAAAATAGTTTTTGAGATATGGGATACTTTCAGTATCGTGTTTTCGGCAGCAAAATTAACTTGGTTTCTTATAGTAATACTGTGAAATGAAATACAAACATATAGGACGTCATTAAAATGAATATTGTAAATATTTTATTTTACTTTGAAAAAACAATTAGTATGTTAAAAATCAACATAAATAAAATGTTTCATGCTATGAAACCCTCAATGTGCGAATCAGACTCGCACTTGACCAATTTTTTTGTGCCTTAGCTATTTGTGAAAAATATTATAACGTAAAAAACAACAAACAAAAACACTAAATACCAATATACAAACAGGTAGTCTTAAGCGATATTTTGAACATGATTTCCTTAAGATTATATATGTATCTATATTAACCATTTATAAACATTCCTGTGATAAGAAAAAAATATCATATTATTATATATTCGCCGAGTTTATTAATAACAGATAAAATAGTACTTAACAACAACATGCTATGTATATAAAAAAACGTGTGTGTACTTATGTACGCACGTAAGAAGTTATACTTCTTTGGCGTAACAAAACAAAAACAGCTAAAGATTTCATCCCATATGTCACAACTCTCTGTTTGTAAAAGAAATGCAGCTAACTTCATCATGTCGCTTTTTGGCTGTCGGTGTGCGCGCGCGTCGTAAAAATTTTACTCTCATATATTTTCCAAACATGCCAAAAGAAGTATAAAAAGTATTAATTTTATTCACAAGCTCGAGCTCAAAGTATTTATTAGAAAACCAGAATCAACAACTATTTCTGACCCTGTTATACACTTAGCTTGGTCACTAGCCAAGAACGCTGCTACACCAGCTATATCTTCCATTGACAAGCTACTTTTTAAAATAAGACTACCTTTGAGATCCATAAACATCTTATCGCTTTCATCTCGTGACATACCACCATGTACCATTATGTTAGTTTCCACAGGTCCTGGTGAAATCGAGTTCACTCGTATCTCGTATTGCGCTAATTCTGCAGCAACATTCTTTGTTAAATGAGTAACTGCTGCTTTCGAAACATTATATCCAATAGAACCACCAATCAAATTCGACATTACACTACTAATATTTATAATACATCCCTTACTCTCGATCAAAGCGGGTGTAGCGAAATGTATAGCAGCTACTACAGCTCTGAGATTTACCTTCATAATGTTGTCGAAATCATCCAATAGATTTAAATCGGTTATTTTGTTTGTTTTCCAAATCCCCGCGCAGTTTACTAGTACGTCGATACGTCCAAATTCTTGTACCGTCGAGTTTATTGCTTTCTCCAAATCATCATCGTCAGAAACATCAGTGGCAACGTAAAATACTTTTGTTTTTGCCACCTGTTGGCACTTATCAGCAACAATGCTGAGATAATCCTTATTAATATCTATCAAGGATAGTTTTGCGGATAGATTAGCAAAGTGCAACGCTATGGCCTCACCAAATCCACTGCCCGCACCGCTTATTAGAACCACTTTATTCGTAAATATCATTTTGACTGTTTAAACAATAATGAATGCTAAAAATGAACGAGATTTAATATATACGAAATTATATCAATAAATAATGTAGCCAATAATATTGATATCGGTAGACTACGTCCAATTTGATTAAATGTGTACTCGAAATTTATTTATTGTTTTTTTTTCTGATTCTATTTCGTATTATACTAACGCCTCGCCCTTGCTTTGTTTCAACTGTAGCTAAAACCTGTACCGAAATTTTTTTACAACTATTAACTTATCCTGCGGGACGGACTTTCTTATCTTGAAAATAACCACATAAGTTAATTTTCCAAGGATAAAATAATAACTATTAAGCTATTTTCAATCAGTATACCTGACTTAATTAAAATGTATGCAACATTTCAACAATATTTTGTGCTCAATCCCTGTCTAAAAACACCAATAAAATCCCATCAAAAGCAACAAAAGCCACATAGAAACCAATAAATATGTATTGGTTTCTATGTGTCTTTTGTCGCTTTTGATGGGATCGTATTGGAGTTTTTAAATAGGGATGGGAAAGCTAGACTAACGTTACGTGCTTGTTTCTCTTATCGTCCACGGCTAGAGTCCATGAATGCATCAAATACATGGTAACCCTATTTATATCAAGAATAAATGTGTTCTGTATATTGTGCTATCATCTGCATATTTTTCTCTGTAAACACGTTGCAAGGTCAATGCCTTTCTAAATAAATTCTTTAACACACAGGCAATATTACTAAGAATATTTGTAAACATTATTGAGATTATATTGAAACAAGATTTTAAGTGGTAATTTCGAACAAAGATAGAAGGCAACATTTGTATGGAAAACATGTTTGACTAGATTTAATCGAAACTCTATCCTCTCTATGACACTAAAATGTGCGTAGACACTGGTGCGTGCTCTATTCCTTATTCTTTCACTCTCAAACAAAAAAATCGAAAAAGGACAATTCGACAAAATCGGTGAGAGACAAGTGGCCGAGTTCACCAACGTCACCTAAGTTTAAGGGATCCCCTAAGCATGGTTAGGAGGCTGTTAGGGGACAGTTTCTGTTTCACCGACAGTTAGGGGTCACCTAAATGTTAAAATGCCACCTAAATATAGGTACTAGAAATACGGGCTCTGACGATGGTAAAACGAAATTTAATTTAGGGGCTAGTTTAGGGGAACTTTTAAGCGATCCCATACGTAGGTGGTAGCTTATGGGATGTTGGTGAAAACGGGCAAAGGAGACCTACTTCACCTCATTTTCAGGGTCCCGTATCCAAATAACATCACCAGCTTATCAACTGCGGACTGTTTTTGAGAATTTCTTAACAGAAAATAATTCAATAACAATACTTAGCCCATCCTGCGACTCTAACACAGAAGTTAGGACCCATAGCTTCATGAACATGCCACTGAACTAATAAGGTAGCTAAAATAAAATAATTATTGCAATTTAAATAAAACTATCTTTTCGGATTATTTCGCGGATTTGTTTTGATATTTGGTTCCCGACGTTTCGATTGCTCTATAGCAATCATGGTCACGGGAGAGACTAAGGTTATAGACGTCTCAAACACATATATACTTGTTACAGACGGTGCCTATTCACTATTTTACAAAAATTTGGAAAATTCAAAAATACGCTATATAATATAATACCTAATAGCGTAAACCCTAATAATCTTAATTTAAACGAGCTTAACAAGCATTTCTCCACTTCAAGTACCATGGATAGTACTATTAAGCAACAGACTCTTAATCAACTTTCAGCTTTATCCCCTCCTAATATTCCACAATTGTTCTTTAGTCATTTTACTGAAAGTGATGTTAAGAGAAACATTCTTACTATAAAATCAGATGCAGTTGGTGCTGATAGTATTAGTCGGAAAATGATCTTACCTATCCTCGATGTTTTATGTCCTGTTATAACGTTTATATTTAATCACTCTATTATCTCCTGTGAATTTCCTTCCTCCTGGAGAGATGCTCTAATTGTACCATTACCTAAAAAATCTAATCCTGTTCTTTATAATGATTATCGTCCTATCTCAATCCTTCCTTTCTTATCCAAAGTACTTGAGCGTCTTGTACTCCATCAACTCAATCAATTCCTTTCTACTCATAATCTCCTCAATCCTCTACAATCCGCTTTCCGTCCTGGGCATAGTACGACAACTGCTTTAGTCAAGATCTCTGATGATATTCGCAAAGGCATGGATAAACAGGAAGTCACAGTACTTACCTTACTGGATTTTAGCAATGCCTTTAATACTGTTGATTTTGACATCTTACTTGCTACGTTACGTTCTCTTAACATATCTCCTAAAGTAGTCGACTGGTTTCTTTCTTACCTGCGTGGACGCCGACAGCGTATACGGATTCATGATTCGTATTCCGACTGGTCAACAGTCAAGTCAGGTGTTCCGCAGGGTGGCGTGTTGTCTCCTCTTCTTTTTTCAGTATTTATTAATACATTATGTCATCACATTTCTTCTCACTACCACCTGTATGCAGATGATCTACAGATTTATATTCACGCGAAAATTACTGAATTACCGAGAGCGATTGATAAAATGAACGAAGATTTAAGGAGTATAGCCTCATGGAGTAGATCTTTTGGACTCCATCTTAATCCGGCAAAAACTCAAAGTATAATTATTGGTAGCTCGAAACTCATTGCTAGGGTCGCGTCGTTATCATTACCATCTATTCTATTAAATGGTATAATTATACCTTATAGTGACACTGTCAAGAACCTAGGCGTGATTATGGACCAGAATATGTCCTGGGCTCCGCAGTTAGGTGAGACGAGCAGGAAAATGTTTGCATCCGTAGCATCACTTCGTCGGTTACGCAACTTTCTTCCCATTCCTACTAAAATTGCGCTAGCACAATCTCTCCTACTACCTATCCTTGATTATGCTGACTCTTGTTATCTTGATCTAAGAGAGGAGCAATTAAATAAGCTTGAGCGGCTTCAAAATTTATGTATACGGTTCATATTTGGGTTGCGAAAATATGACCACATTTCTGAATTTCGCAGAAAGCTCAAGTGGCTCCCTATTCGCCTTCGCAGGAATACGCATGTCCTTCATCTTCTTTACCGTGTTCTGTTTGATCCATCTTCTCCTCCCTATTTAAAAGATAAATTTAAATTTCTGGGTCTTTCTCATTCGAGAAACTTGCGCTCCTGTCAAAATTTAATTTTAAAAATACCTCCTCATTCCACTTCATTTAGTGATAAATCATTCTGTGTAACAGCCTCACGACTTTGGAATTCTCTCCCTTTGAGCGTAAGAGGCGCCAAAACGTATAATACTTTTAAAAACCGTTTAAAACTGCATTTTCACTCTTTTTAAACCATATTCTTTTTACCATCTTTGTTTGTCTTTTTTTAATGCCATTTTACTTATAAGTTCTATTATTATCTATTTAATATGATATAATATTATTTATATATTTATGTACCCATAATATATTAAATATTATTATTATTATAAGTATTTTGTCTTGTATTAATCTTATCATATTTATGTAAATATAATATTATTATTATGTACATATGTATGTATTTTTGATATGTAAGTTTATTCATAGTATTAAAAATTAATTATTGTTATTATTGTATTATTATTATTATGGTTTTATTATTATTATTATTACTACTGTATAGTTCACACCCCTTCCCTCTTACAGTTTGTCAATTCCAACACCTTAAGGTTGCCTGGAAGAGATCGCTGTTTTAGCGATAAGGCCGCCTCTTGTACATAACTCTTTTTATATATTTCTTGTAATTTTTTTTTCTTTTTTCTCTTGTGGGTGTACAATAAAGAGTATTTATTATTATTATTATTATTACCTAAAACCAAATGCCCGCTTTCAGACTACAAGTCTTTGGCTTTATGTTATCCATACATAATATAATAAAATTCTAACCGAGTCGAATCTGCACATTAAATATTTTTTGGAGAATCTTATTGAAATAGACATTATTATCGATACAGAGGCCGAATCTATAGTTTATAAATTAAATGAATACCAATTTATATAGATATGAAAAATAAACACTAAATAATATTAAATATTATATTCCAACAAATATAACTTATAAAAATCAACATCTAAAGTTAAAATTAATATTTAACTCGCACAACAATATATAATATTAAAATATCATTTATTTTTAACACACTTCCAATTCTTTATCGAATTCATCTTGGCAAATAAATTAGAAATATCAACTCACATTTTGAAATACTAATAAAAGGTTATAAATTACATTGCCATAATATTAGTATTAATTACTAGCGACTCACCCTCGCTTCACTCGGGTTCGTCCCTAGGTTGCTACCCCCTACAAACGTTCACCCCCTCAAAAGGATGATTTCCGGGATAAAAACTCCCAGGGTCTTAAACATCTTACCAAATCTCATCTAAATCGGTTCAGTAGTTCGGAGCCTATTCGATACAAACAAATTTTTCCTCTTTAAAATATTAGAATAGATGTACCTAATAACTTGTTTGCTTACTCGCTGCCATACTAATTTTAACTGTCCATTTGTATTTAGACAACAGTGCGATATAGTAAAAGAGTTGAGGACATATTTCCTTTTTTAACATCCCACGGCTAGGCACGGGTACCCCTTCAATACGAGGGTAATCAGGCCATAGTCGACCACGCTGGCCATGTGCAGACGGACTGATCATGTCTTTCAAAAACTAGCTAGATCCTCTCAGACATGCAGGTTTCCTCACGATGTTTTGCTTCACCGTAAGACACATGAGAATATCAGATGTGCGCGACCCGGGATTTGAACGCGCTACACTCTACATGCTACATTCAATTAAATAAAATAAATTATATCACGTTATACTTACAACTAACATTGCATCTGTATGTAATTAACTAATTAGGATCTAGATCACCGGGCAAAAGGTTATTGATGAAATAAATTATAACCTACTTAGATTTAATCTATACAGATAAATAAAATTGAAGTGTCTGTTTGTAATGTCAAAATTACTGCTTTTTACTGAATGCATATGATAATTTCATATGCATTCAGTAAAAATATATAAGGTACATATAAGAAAAATACAATTTTTAACATTTTTGTCTATCAATTTGACGTTTGTTCTAGCTAATCTTCAAAACGGCTGGACTGATTTTGACGGGACTTTTACTACTTTTATTTTAGAAAAAGTATTAGGGTTCCACTAAAAAAAGTTAAATGTACCTAGCGAATTAAATTAATAATTGAACTACTTCATACTTATTTAACTGTACATTGTACTTTAAATATAAATATATAATAATGTTGAGATGACAATAACACACAGCAGCATCTAGTTCCATGGTAAGCTACGAGGCTTGTGTTATTGATACCAGATAGTTGATATACTACAAATTTATAACTTTAAATACATACATGAATATTATAAATATAAACACCCATGATTGGAGTACAAATCATACAAATGAATGCCCCCAGAGGGATTCAGCGGATATGTTCTGTGTTTTGGCGCAGAGAGTATGTTCTCCATTGAGAACACTACTCTTTGTGGCAGTTTTAGTATATCATGTTGTTTAAGGCAGTTAGGATAGTTTTTCGTCTGGAGATGAACTGCCAATTCATTTGGATGCTGGATCAGTTGTTGTTGGTAGCAAAGTGTCATTAATATGAAGAATAAATGTAGTGATAATTCCTCCACTTAACTTTCATCTGAACACAAAATTTTGAAATTGTACAAAACTTGATTCATCTAAAATATTCTTACGTTATGTACTTAAATGTTATTATAGTTTTAATTCTTCTCGTCTTTGCAGTCTCTCTTTTAGTTTCAATAATCTCTTGTACATACGAAGTTTGTTTGTAGAGAATGTTTGCTTTGCTTTTTGTTCCTGAAAATGGTATATTATTGTGTAAACAAGTTGATTAAGATCGACCTATTGTTATATATAGACTGTTATTTATGAAAATTTGAAATTATAGAAATATTCATATTTTACTTACGTTAGGAAAGAAATTTATATCCAAAAGATATAATTCAAAAAATGTAGATGCTACAATAGTAGGGCCAGTTGGTCTTTCGCAAACATCCAATTGAACAGCGAATTTTCCTTCCGGTAAAGTTGCTAATGTTTCAAAAATAGGTCGTATAGCTTTCTTTTGACTTGATAATCTATAAAGCAGAATTTCACCTGCTCTTGTCCCAATTAAAACAACATCCACATAAAAAAACAACGCTGTTATAGGTGGGAATTCTAAATACAAATGTTGATATTTGTCAGTTTCAATTTTAAATAAACTCCGAGAATAACAAACAAAATTTCTGTCATTGATAGCACATATATGCTTTATTTGTCTAATCCATTCTACTGGGCACCTCAACGGCTGTACAGTTACTTCCTTATCTTTTGTTATATTAACAATTTTACCACAATCAGTAAAAACATGTATAATTTCATTATTATATTGCAGTTCTTTGATATCATAATCACAGTGAATAATCAAATTTGGTGTTAAACTTTGATTCATTAGATCACATTTAAAAACATCCCTATTATTGTAAAAATAAACAGCATCATTTGTAAGAACAAAATTATCAGCTTTGAAAAACTCTTCTGTAGCAAAAGATGGAATTTCAACAGTTCTTTGGATTAGAATCCCAGATTTTAATTGTATTACTGATACATGATCAGTATTGGCGATTTTAAGACAGTTGCGCTCAGGTAAAGCTACTGGAATATATTTCAATGTACTCACATCATATAACACAATTCCTTTGGAATCTTTCAAAGGCAAAACCCCATAGTCAATGTTTAAAAGATGAGATTTATCGTGAATAGTGAATTTGTAAAATTCTCTAACATTTTTTTCGAAGAATGATAAATCAGACCATAATTTCAGGTTTTTATATATATGATACCAATTGCAATCATTACCAGATTTCGTTTTAGCTAGTTCTGATGAATGTTTAAACTCTTTTTTACACATTTTTAGCCATAAATTATCTATTTCATCAATACATGCCTTCCATCTTTTGCAAACTCTTCGACAACGACCCAATGAATATCCATCAATTTTTAGCAATATTTCGATAAAAGTTTCCAGAGGCAGATCGTTTATTTGTATAGCCTCAGTCATTTTATTATTATTCAATAAAATTATGCAAAACAATTGTGAGCTGTAAGAAAGAAAATAAATTTTATAACAATTTTATTTTAAATGATTATGTCTGATAAATCATAGTTTACATACCACTGAAATTTTAATACACATCAATTTAATATTAAACCTTATTCCTGGGTTTTAAAAACATAGTAAATGTTTTTATGTGTATTTTTCAAAAAAACTTAAAACTCGTGATTTTGACGTTTAACTTCAATCTTCGCGGTTATGTTGTTAATGTTGGCCAGATTGATTATTGAATACGCTACTGAAAGAAAATGATTAAAAACACGGATTAGAAAGATAAATAATTTTATTTTAAATAAGTTTAAGTATATAAATTATAAACAGGGAAATATAATTTAATTGGCATTTTTACTAAAATACTCATTAAAAATACCGCAAACTTTTAACAGGTGTTATATTTCTTTACACTTATTTTTTGTTTTGGAAAGTTTTTTTTTCATATTTTAACATTTAAAAATTTCCTTTTTGTTCCAGACAATAAAAAGAGTATAAAAATATCTCACTGAAACAAAAAGTATGAGTTCACCCACATTTTTTTGTTTATTTGCTTACTACATGCTATTTAATTAAAGATGGCTAATTTATATTTACAAATAGACGTAAATTCAATTTTACTAACAGAAAATAAATGACGCTGCAGGATGAATTTTTTCAACATTTAATATCATAAAGGAAACAAGGCCTAAGCATTACACGTTTTATACTAACTACTGACGACGCGCGTATCATGAACATACGTCGTGCGAGAAGTTTTTTTTGGGGACATTAACACACAGCACCATCTAGTTCCATGATAAGCTACGAAGCTTGTGTTATGTATATATATGTAGATTGTTGATACACTACACATATTATATAACTTTAAATACATACGTATTTATAAATATAAGCACCCATGACTGGAGTACAAACATATGTGCTCATCACACAAATAAATCCCCCCAGCGGGACTCGAACCCAGACCGCTGGCACAGCAAGTAGGGTCACTACAAACTACGCCAAACGTGTTGTCGAAAATTTTAATAATACTATATATATGAGAAGATATTTACTAACTTAATTTTCCACGTGGTTATATTTCATGTATTTATGTATGTATGAAAATCAAAAATAAAACAAAAAGATAAACCAACAGATTTATTACCATTTAGCAGAAATGTACATATAACTTTTTGAATAATGTCATAAATAGAATAATTAGTGATAAAACTTATACAAAATTATTATTGCTAAAGCAATAAAGGTCAACAGATGATTTTTAAAGTTTTATTCAATTTAGAAATAAAAATGTAAAACCCAAACCTTAAGTACCATACAAATATAAAAAAAAAAACAAAAACAATATCAAAGGAGTGAATAAATATCACATGTTAACATGTCAGTGCAAAACTGGCGTAACTTAAAAAAATAATAATAATAACTGCCATAATATATTGTTATTAAATATTTAATAAATTCAATGTAGCAAAAAAGGATAAGCTGTATTTGTTATGAACAGATTGTATTTAATTCAAATTTAGATTTTTGAGTTATGCCAATTTTGCATTGATAACCGAATTAAAAATTAACCCCAAAAAAATCCCCTAAATACGTCTAAAATGCAAAACAAGTTCAAGGAATGATGGGAAAAATAAATTTTCAACATTTGCACTTTAATCACCACCGTAGTACACCATACGTAGAAAAGTTAAAACTTTAATAAACTTAACGTAATAATAAATAATGTAAGAAAAAAGTATATGTATTTAGCACGTTAATGAATTAAATTGTTACGTTATGAATGGACTAGAATTGATAGGGCCCATTTAGACATATGACAGTCTTTGATTAGTTCTTGAAATTATTATTACATACGAGTACTTATCACCTTCGTTCTCTATTTTCAATTGAAATATTATTTAAAAAAATAAGCTATATAGATTTTGATAACATAAGTTTAAAACATATACAGTATAGCTAACTTTGTTCGATTTTTTTCATTGTGCACACAAATCAATTTGCAGATTTATTTTTTATTTGGTCAAGGATCAACTTAAACGTAATAGTAGAAATAAAATTAATAGGTAGATATAAAAACAATGCAGGACTAGTAACGATATGGTCGTATAAGAAGTTGTCCATATCACTCTTATTAAATTGAAATTTTCTCTAGTGCAAAGTTTCATAAAAATGTATTTAAGCACAGCAATGATATATCACAAATATCATGTTAACTAAATCATCTAAAAAAGCTTAGTATTTCGTATGATAAATATTGAATGTGCACATATTTTTCAAGTTACAATCTACAACAACAATTGTATACTAAAACATTTTAATTTGCTCTAATAACAGACAGATTGATATTTTTTTACATATATCTATTGAGCTGATATTCGTTAATAAAACAAAAACTAACATCCAAAATAAATAATAATAATAAATAAATATGTTAGCACCATCTAGTTCAATGGTAAGCTACGAGGCTTGTGTTATGGATACCAGATAATTTATACACTACACATATATAACTTTAAACATATACACATTATAAATATAAACACTCATGACTGGAGTACAAACATTCGTGCTCATCACACAAATGAATGATCCCAGCGGGACTCGAACCCGCGACCGCTGGCACAGCAAGTAGGGTCACTACAAACTGAGCCAAACGCGTCGTCTAAAAAAGCATACACTATATGTATATACATATGTAGTATAAAAACAGCACACAATTGATTTAATATACTACCTAATGTAAAGTAATTAAATAAGTATAATCATTTATAGTTTTGTTGAACACAATATAAAGGAGAAAGGAACATATTTCCTATTTAATTTGTGCATATAGAAAATCTAAGACACTACATGGCGACAAATATCTGTAGAACTAAAAATTCAAAGCCTGTTCAAGAATATACAAAGTTATCAATATTTTTTATATCCTTACCTAAAACAGAACAGATAAGATTAAAGGCATATAAAAAATGTATAATATAAATAAAAAAATGACATAACACAAAAAACGTAATAAAAAGTCACACTGGGGAAAATTTATTAAAAACCGTTATGTATTTTCAAGTTGAAACTGTCATATTTTTAAATAATTTATTCAATATTGTGATGATATCATTATGTAAAATAAATAATTAATCAATCAATACCTTTACGTATCTACTAACAAAGTTCCACATTTAACTAAAAGGTACAACGACTTACAAAATCAATACATTAAATAAAATAGGTTCACAGTAGGCAAACATACACTTATTGACGTAACATGTAAAAACCCACAATTACCAAACATTGATAACATACAGTGTACGTACGTCGTACACTCAAACGTATATTTTAACCGACTTCCAAAAGGAGAAGGTTCTATGTGCGTCTGTATGTTTGTTATTAAAGCCTGTCAAAAGTAGGATTTTATACCCATATCATTTAAACAGAGTTAGTGTCTCAGTCTATGAAAAAGCTACTACTGATTTGGAATGCATTCTAATGAGAAAAGCCGATAAGAAAAGAGTCAGCGAGTCAGTTGCTCTTAAACCTTAAAAGATAAAAGTTATTGTGGTTGCACATTAATCAATACCTAATACTTCCTTAGATTTATGCGAATATTTGACATTTTAAATAACATAGGCGAAGCCATGGGCAATGCTAGTAACTTATAATATTTATCACACAATATGGTAGCCATTCTGCATAAAATGTCATACAGTTTTAGTACTACATATTTTTGCTATGGAGGATAAGAGATAAGGAGAACCATCTTATATAGGGAAAAGATGATAGTGTCCTTCTGTAAGTGATGAATAACAGTTCAAAAACCCATCAGAATGGTGCTAGCGTAAGAAATATGATACGAATTTAGCAGCTGTAGACAGAGTGAAGTGAAATTAATGATTTAGAATGTTCTGGATGTGATACAATTAAAAAATAAAAATTGATACCTCAATGTTCATTGATAAACTATATAATAATATTTATTTATGATCGGGCAACATATTAGAATTAATTGGCATATTACTTATAACTACTATGAAGAGTTAAAAAATATAATATTATTGACTGAATATATTACCTAATTAATGAAACTGCAATATGCAAAACCTCATCTATTTACTTAATCCAAAATAGGTTACTAAATATAACCTAATAAACTGCTGTGAGATAATGTAATCCTACTCTGATGATTTTTTTTTAATTTACCCTGTTGCTATTGTGGCGCCACCCAAATTTAACGCATTTTAAATGACATTTTTGATTTTGATACACAGACATGGTTCTCCTTACCTCTACACTCCATAATTTTTACCATCCATGTTTTTCGAAGAAATAGTCCCCTATACTTAGAAATTTAGTTAATTATGCCTTAATGTTTACCAAAAATTCGTAAAACCCATAAAAAACCATAGGATTGTATGACGCAGACGAACACGATAGGGAATATGCGTGATTGCTTTTTATTTTTTATACAACAGCTAAAATCGTTATATAATTGGAAAAAAATATCTAGCTACAAAATAACTCAAATTTAGTATATTTTTCTTAAATATCATACCGATACGGATACTTCAAACGCCCGCCACTTCGCGCGCTTGACGTGACGTCACAGTATGATATACACAGAAAAATGACTCAATTTGTAGCGACAAAATCGCTAATCGCTCTATGATATACTCTGACTTCATATTCGGTCTGACCAATGGCGTGCGTTTCAACTACTTCGAACTTCCCACCTATATTTGCACTTTTTAATAATTATTTTCTTTATAAAAAAGAAATAACATTAAAAAATATTGATATTCATAAATCAAAAGTAATAAAGATTATAAAAAAAATATTTCAACTTTATTTAAATTACACGCATATTCCCTTTTAAGATTAAGCTTTAATTAAAAACTATTACATATGTGATAATTTTGATTAAAAAATTTTTACCATCTATTAACATTCGCAATAGTTACAATACAATGACTTTAAAACAATTTTGCATAGATATCAGATATTTTTTTTCTGTGGAAATAGTAATTTAAAATGTTCTAAATGTTGATAGAATTAATAAATAGAAATTGATACCTCAATATTCATTGATAAATTATATAATAATATTTGTGATCTGGCAACATATTAGAATTAATTGTCATATTACTTACAACTACTATGAAAAGTTCCTTAATATTGAACATAGACATAGAGAGTAGACTGTTTCTTCGCCAGCCGTTAGGTAAAAATGGCGGGCAGATAGACAGAAGTCTTCTGTATTCATTGAAATAGGATCAATGAAAATAGGTTTATAACCATTTTACATTCAATTATAATATTATATTTCTTTTACATTTCATTTATATATTCAAATTGGAATAAAAGACATGTATTGGCCGCACGTTCGCTTTCTCTCTTTCTAGAGAGTGGTCAATTTCATGAAAGTATTGCTCATACCATTCTCTATGTCTATGATATTAAACTACGCATGATCTAAAATATGGTAACATTTGTAAAGTCACATTTCAAATAACTTGTCAATAAATAAATGCATATAAAATTAAGAACAAAAACAAATGCTTACAAAATCTCAATTATAAATTTGCAAAATTATCAAATAAAAATGCAGATATAATATTACTCATAACATGTAGTTTCAAGATTATAATTAAATAAAAAAATTAAATACAATTTAATAACACTGTAAAAATTACTATTTTAGTTTATATTATATGGCAACACTTGAAATATAGTAGAAAATGTATATATGAAACATTTTAAATAATTGGATACAAATTCTGAGGTCTCTGATAGTAATTGAGATATTTGTATTAAAAGTTAGGGTTCATGACGATTTAATATAATAAAAAAGCAATAATATTTTAATAAATTTTTCCATTTTCCATAACATTGAAGAAAAAATATTTTTTAAATACTTTTTAAATTAAATTGATTTTGTGATTTAAAATATTTACAAAATAAATAAAAATGTCATGATCCCCATAGAAATTAAGAACTTATCAGCTATCCTTAAGTATACTAGAAACGACTAGCATTGTAAAGCTACCGATGAGATACAGTGTTGCCGGTATTGATGCCAAAAGACTGTATCTTTCCTCTGAAAAAAATAGAAATTAATATTTTTTAAATATTTATATTGCATTTTTTATATAGCAACATGCATGTCGATATTTACGTGTATTGGTAACATCGCTTATAAAAATAAGCTGGATTAGATAAAAATGCGAATGGAAATAAAAAAATAGTTTCGTTATATACATAAATTGTTATTAAAAAATACATATATAGGTTTCTTTAGCCTCCGATTTTCAAAGTTTAGTTATTATATATGTAGATATTATGGTCTTTGTCTGATTTTGTTAGAAAACAAATGGGAAAAAAACATACAAAGCATTATAAGAAGAATAGCGGTAAGGAATGTATATTTTTAATAAAACAGCTCCTTTTCCCAAAAAGGTTTACTACAAAATAACTTTGAGTAACTTATCTTTAAAATTCACGATCGAAGGTTGACGAAGATTATAATTGAGAAAAAGAACGTATTACAATAAAATATAGTATTCTTGAATTTTCCTTTAAAAACATGCACATATATGTTTAAGGTCTTTTTAGTTATATCATTTTTTTTTTAAATAGCCAACTTACAAAATATAATATTAAATTTGAAAATAACCAATATTCTAATATAAAAATACCCATTCTCAACAGAACTGCCTTACGAGGCGGTGGAAGATTCCTCGCTTACATACTGACATTTAATTTAAATTCAAAATGTGAAAGTGACGATTCAAAAGTGCTTGTAAAAGTCTATTTGAATAAAGCATATTTTGATTATGCACCTAAACTTCGTAGTATAAAATACTAATAATTTATAATTTAAAAAAATCATTAATTTTTTTCTTCAAAAAGTCATTTTCGTAAAGTTGGCACATATTTCTTAAACTTTATAACTTTTTAAATTACGTTATTTAATAATTTATAGAAAAGATTTATCTTATAAAACATTACTTACAATGGATTTGTATATTTATATATAATAAATAGGTTTTAGAAGAAGCAAGGTATATAAAGTATGGAGGGTAGAAGAGAGAAGGCATCTGTGTATGAAAAAGTGTCCGTGAAATCGCGTCCAAAAATGCTAGCAAATGGGTAATGAAATGTAAAGATTGACTGAAAAAATATCGAAAGTCTTGAATATAAAATAAAAATTTAAAAAGTAGTCATGAGGACTGCCGACAGAAGTGAAAACTTAAAACTATAAACAAACAGTTGTTATTTTTGGACATACAAATTAATTGTTTGATCTTAAATTAAAATTTGTAAATTAAATCTGTATACATTTATCTGGTTTTGACATCTATCGGCACTCTCAGTGTTAGCGTTAGAACGTCACGTGACCATATCGATGACGAGTTACATGAATTTACTCCTCATCCAAACCTGCATATAGAAAGATTTCACTTCAATAATGATGGCGCTGCGGTGGCGTAGGATAAATTTTAAAGGGAGCACCAAACGTAATTAGAGTGATATAGAGAGATAAACAAGAATGTTTATTTTTACTAAATTATTTTAGACTACGTTAATAGTTTAAGGTTTTATAATGTTATTTCAATAACTATTTTATTCATGAAGAAATTAAAAGTTTTGAACTCAGCACACTTCACTCCGTCTACAACAGTTAAGTTCGTATCGTTATTTTTCGTAAGCCAGCGCCATCTATTTTCAACATACAACTGGACACTTTTTCAACGGTACTCCTTACTTTTACCCGCCATAGTAAAAAGTCATGCATCCACATGCACACAGATTAATAAAAATTAAAGACCTTTAGTAGGTAAAATAATACTTTTATTTCAGGCTAAAGCCTATAAGTCGTGAGCCGTTACAAGTAAAATAACATTAAAACTAAACCTTATTTAAATAAGATAAATAATAATAACAATAAAAAAAATATTCGATTCACGTCAACGTTGTGTCTTTGACTTGACATATATTTTTAAATATGGCGGGCATTTTTTCCAACGACATTCTCTTTTTATACCCAATTATGGGATCTATTTGATTTTTTGGTTCAACAACTATAGGGTTGTCATCGCTATCGAAAATAATTTCCGGATCATTCTCTATAATCTCCTCTATGGTCTCCCAGTCAGTTTGTATCTTTCTCTTACTCTGGCAACATTTGCACATGCCATAATCGCATTCTTTTTTGTTCATGTAAAACTCGATATCATCTAATATCGTATGTTCGTCTTTCGGCGTTTTTTGTGGAACAAAAATGGAGAATTTCCGCGCCGAATACTGTATTAACTCCTCCATATAATTGTCTACGCCATCGTCTGTAACCGGATTGTCTATGGTCTTTAGGTCTATAGATTTGTCTATGTCAGAGTTTTTCCTACTGTTTGGCGGGGAATAGGTATCGTTTAATATGCTATTTTTTCTTTTTGCCTGACCTGTCATTGTGATGGACTTTTTGGTCGTCGCCCACCCGAGGGAGCGTTGTACCGCCATCTTCCATTTAGTGTATCTCGCATCACGGTCTGTAATAACAATGGATTATTAGTTTGGAAAAAAATATAATTAAAAAAAAATAGGCAAATTGATCATTTATTTGGTTTATATGTTTATCTTTTTTTGCGTTTTGTATGGTAAAATCTATATATTTTACACGTTTGGCTCAGTTTGTAGAGGCTCTACTAGCTGTGTCAGCGGTTGCGGAGTCGAGTCTCGAATGTTTGTATGCGAGCACAAATGTTTGTACTCGTCATGGGTGTTTATATATTTATAATATGTATGTATTCAAAGTCATATATGTGTAGTGTATCAACTATCTGGTATTCATAACACAGGTCTCGTAGCTTCTCATGGAACTAGATGGTGCTGTGTGTTAATGTCCCAACATATTTATAGGTTGTCTTTTATGCATAACACCACACATCTCATATCTCTAATATACATTTTTTATTAATATTTTTTATTAATTCAAAAGTCCTTGTAAAAATCTGAATAAAAAATAAATAATTAGATTACCTACTATAATAAAACCGTAAGTTTGTATGTATGTATAATTGTATATACGTATGTGTGTGTTTGTTACTCCTTCGGACCTTCATTCACCCTTGAACTATTGAACTCATTCGGATGAAGTTTTGCACACAATTTTTTTTTGTATATCTGTTTGTAATGAATAAACTACATACACTACTTGACTAATTTTAAGAATTCTTTCACAATTTTAAGAATTAAATTTTAAGAATTCTTTCAAAAAAAAATGTAAATACAACTTTAATTTTGGCATTGCATTTAAGGTTTAATTTACATAAACACAATTGTAATATTACCTAAGCACAATTGGTGATAATTTTAAGAGAACTTTTGCATGGGATTGTGTATCTAGTATGTTTTTGATCGATGCCTATAATCTATATATTAATACGTGAAGCAAAAACTTTGAACCCCTTTTTACGAAAATTGCGCGGACGGGGGAGTATGAAATATCCCACACATAAAGTTTATATAGAGAAGGAGTGCAGAATGCTCACTTTTTTTAAATTTTGCATAAAAAAACATTACACACACTACCATGTTTTTGACACGCACACACACACACACACACGCATATATACTCTTTTGTTTATTGTTAAAGTCTGTGTGTGTCAAATTAAGAATAAATTAAGTTTGTTTGTAATTTGTTTCCAAATTCTTTTATAGTCTATTTAATATCTATTATCTATATAAAATTGAAAAAACAATCTCAATATCGATATAATTTAATGAATTATGGTTGATTTTCGACCACGAGGCGATCACTCGTAGTCATTATTTTGCATGCATATATTTTCGTACCCACCATCATCAGTAGTAGTGGGCAGGAAGGTGTCAGTGGAGATGGCACGGTGTCGCCATCTGTCCACGCTCCATACATTCACCGCGGCGCCGGCGACGACCGCCACGCCCAGAGCCGACATATCCCACGAGTGGGCTCGTACTGTGGGCATAGATAAATAAATAAGTAAATAAATTTTTGAAATTGAGAAAAAAAACTATTGTAAAATACAAGTATTGATAGTTTGAACAAATAAGCACTACGGCGACGATATGACTACACTGTCAGATCAAAGTATGGTGGGCTAATTACATCCTGAAAAGGGTGCAATTTAATAATTTGCTGATTTGCACAAGCCGAAGGGGCAAAAATCGACCATAAGTTTATGTACGATTTAGTAACTCCAAAAATCCCCTCGTGGACTCTCCTAGTATAAACTATTCTATATTTACCTTACTACAAACATTTATAGAAAACTATGTATATTATATTTATATATAGATAAGTGTTATAGTTTTGGATAACCAAGAAAATTATACTAAAACTACTTAAAACCTGAACAAGCCCAGGTGTGATCGCTAGTAAATAATAAATTACTCACACACAGGTATTCCAATCAAATCCGCTTGCAATTGCATCAGAAGGTCGTTCGAAGTCATTTTACCGTCAACGTGGAGTTTCGATAGCGGCATCCCGCAATCTTTGTTCATTGCTTCCAAAATATCCCTGGAATAGGTTATTTTATTTATGTACCAAAAAATATACATATAAATAGAGGTAGAGTACTCTAATGTAGTAAATATTTCTAGTTGAAATACTGTATATAACTTACTAGCTACTCACCCTCGCATAGCTCGGGTTCTTCCCTAGCTTGATTTCCCATACAAACTTTCATCATCATTTTCACCCTCTTAAGGGATGATTTTCGGAATAAAAACTATCCTATTCCAGGGTCTCAGACTATCTTCTAACCAAATTTCATCTACATCGATTCAGTAGTTTCAGAGCTTATTCGGTCCAAAGAAACAAAAAAATCTTTCCCTTTATAATATTTAGTATAGATTAAAATAACTCACCTAGTTTGAAAGCACACAGCTTCTAAAGCCGCTCGAATAATGTGATTCTTCGTGGTGAACGCTGTTAGTCCACAGATAATACTAGAAAATTGAACAAAATAAAAAAAATCAATAAATAAAATATTGTTTTTAAAAACAAATACTGGTCGTCTAGTGGAAATTTAATCATAATAATTATATAAAAAAATCGAACTGATTACAATTTTTTTATATTGATAACACTCACTAACTCGTCAATAGCTATTAAACAAAAAAAAAAAAGAAAATAGGTTGACAAACCGAGAAGAAAAAGAAGAAGATAATAAAATATTATGTTTTCTTCTAATATAGATTTATTGAAAAGAAAAATGACAACTTAATTTTTAAAATAACGACAATATTCGTTAGGAAAGTGTACAATGTACATATAACAATATTTCCAACAGTTATGAAAACTCTTAATAATATAGTTAAATTATAACTTTTGTTGGAGGAAATTTCATTGGACACGTAAAAAGGTTATTAATTTGAAAAAAATTAATCACTTATCATGTAAAGAAGGTTTTCACTTGACAATTTACTTCATAGCTAACTTTTATTTTTCATTTTTGAATCATTCAATAAAAAACAGAGGTGTCATGTCATGGACTAACAAATAGGATATTTTTCATTACGAATAATATTGCTTTGGAATATTACTTTACCTTCAACTACACCATAGTACTAATAGATGGCGTTGTCGAAAAACGTTGGAAAAAAAATTTTAAAGGTCACATTAATCGATTGAATGAATTGATTAATTCCTCAATACGAGGAATTCCCGTGTCCAGAAATAGGACACTAAACATGACTAAAAAAAATCACTCATTACAGCTGTAAAGAAACAATAGATCAACATATATGTATGTTTTTATTGCATTCAACTTTTTTTAACGTCCCACTGCTGGGCGTGGGCCTCACTTTAATGCGAGGGGGACTTGTTTTGTACTTTCAAACATGCGTAATTCCTAACGATGTTTTCCTTCACCATAAAGCAAGTGATAATAATGTTAAAAATAAATCGCACATGAAAATATCAGAGGTGCGAAAGCCAAGATTTGAACCCGCTTCATCCGATTTCCAACTAACCGTGTCAGTAAGCTACCATTGCCTTCACATACATACATACAAAAACCTACTCACCCTCTAGCATCTTTCCTCCAATAGGGCGCGTACAGACCGTTGAGTGCGGGAACAAAGTACACGTCCCCGGTTGAGAACACCTGGCCGGCGATGTGCTCCGTGTCACGTGACACGTCTTTGATTAAATGGAGGTTATCCCGGAGGAACTTCATGGCTCCTCCAGCTACCGCTATCGAACCTGTTGGTGGAAAATATCCACGTTATATTAACGTTTAGTATAGATTTTTCAGAGATGATATTTTCTCGCAGTAAAAAGTATCCTATATGTTGACCCGGATAACCATAAACCAGCTATCACCATACCAAATTTCGTCAAAATTCCACCAGTCGTTTTTCCGTGATGCTGTCACAGACACACAGACAGACAGACAAACATTCTAAAAACTATATATACGGAATCTGTATCGATAATAATGTCTATTTCAATAAGATTTTCCAAAAAAATATTTAATGACAAAAACTGTCCCGGGAATTGAACCCGCTTCACTCCTGAGCGTATGCTCAGGAAGACATTATTAAAACCAAAAAACCAACCTTCCAAAGCATATACAGCAGGTGAATCCGGTCCCAACTTGTATGCAACGGTCGTCAATAGCCCATGCGTGGACTGAACCCGTCTGGTCCCAGTATTGTATAGAAGGAAACATCCACTCCTGTATGTGTTCTTCGCTTGGCCAGCTTGGAGGCAGTTCTGACCGACCAGAGCTGACTGTTGGTTGCCTAGAATCTGTTAAATTTTAAAATATTAGTTACTATAGTCTGCTTTTTAAACTCGGACTAAATTGACACATGCAAATGTCAAATTTACAAATAATGCTACCAGCTCTTTTGTGCAGTGTTGTCTCACAATAGCGGTTTGTTGAATCGTAACTTTTAGTCTTTATTAGACAATTCGCTTCAAAGTTTTATAAATCAAAGTGTATCATTAAAATTCACATTATTAATTTTGTATTATTACGTTTTAAATAAGTACCTACACATTATTTCAGGATAACTTATTATAAAAAAAACTAACTTATTATCAAAAAAATGATACGTGATTTTATTAACGGTAATTTTCGATAGTGGCACATCACTATTTAAGAATTGCAAAAAAACTGGTAATCTACGTAATATTACTTTTCTGTCTGAGATTAAAAAACAGATTATAGCGACTCACCCTCGTTTCGCTTCGGGTTTGTCTCTAGACAAAAACAAATCTATCCCACGGGAACCGTACATTTATCCGGGATAAAAAGTAACCTATGTGCTATTCCAGACTATAATCTATCTTTGTGCCTTTCGTCGGAATCCGTTCAGCCGTTCTGACGTAAAAGAGTAACAAACATCCATCCATACATGCTCACAAACTTTCACATTTATAATATTAATATGGACTAGCGACTTCCACTATTTAGTATATTATCATTTACTTCACTGTATTACTAGTGACTCTCGTTTCGCTCGGATGCGTCCCAAAGTACGTTTTATTTTTTTTGAGCGGAACTCATTCTTTTTTTAAAATAAATATAGCAAAGTACTCCTTATAACATCAGCTATCTGCCAGTGGAAGTCCCGTCAAAATCAGTCCAGCCGTTTCGGAGATTAGTCGGAGCAAACAGACAGACAAAGATTTTAAAAATTGTTTTTTTTCTAAAAAGTACAGTTTAAAATTTCATATGCATTTAGTAAAAAGCTTTTATTTCGACATTACAAAAAGACACTCCAATTTTATTTATCTGTATAGATTAACAATAGCCGAAAATGTAACTCAATGGCCATTTTTATTAGACTTCAAATTCAAAGTTATTACTATATCTGGCAGAAAACCCATTTCTATTGGAATAAAAATTGTCTACTCTATATAAGTACTCGGTGATAAAGTAGATTATTTTATAATTTATAAGCACCTTTTATAAATGCTTTTATAAATACTTACACCAGATATCCTAATTCCTTCCAAAATGGAATCATTCTTCACCGTTCCATATATCTCAGAACTACTCCGTATTTGCGGCAGCGAGTCTCTATGTATGCCGAATAACCTAAAAATAAAAGGAAAATAAAACTGATAAAAATACACTAAGTTTTATATTATAATACTTTATCATAAAAACAATACTTCATGAATAAAATTATAAGAAAACGTCAACTTTAACTAACAATAATTTTTAAACATATTTAAACAATTCTAATTATAAAATAATCTTTAAAATTTGAAAAAAAAATTAAAAAAATATGATCAGCAAAAAGACTTACGATAAAAAAAAATCTAAAAAAAAATCCAAAAAGACTATATATTTTTTTTTTTTCGTTTAAAACTTCATTATAAATGAATATCACCAACTCACCTACAAAGCATAGGATCCCAGTTCAACGTCTCCAAATTCATGAGTAAGGTCCTCGAAGCATTCGTTACATCTGTTATATGAAGACCACCATGAGGTCCACCGGTTAGGTTCTATTAGTGAGAATAATAAAAACATTTTAATATACTCAGACTAAGTAATAATATCTTATAAGGGTTCCCTTTTTACCTTTTGAGGTATGGAACCCTAAAAATAATATAGATAGAGTGTCATAGAACTAAGCATGAAGCCAAACAATTTTTTTTAGTTTTAAAATAGTTTGTAAATGACAATTTCTATACCGAGTGATAAGTAAATAAATGTTAATAAAAAATACCTAACAGTTAAAAAAAAATAAGTTAATATTATGTCCATAATCATGGACCAACAATTTTCGAATTTCTAAGAAATAGAAAATGTGCTGAAATGTGCCCAGTGCGTGCTATTATTACGCGCCGCTTGAAAAAAAAATGCAATGAAAAAATATAATCTGAATGAGAGAAGAAGAGGAATTGGATTTTGCATTTTACTATTCTTGGAAATGCATTTTTTTTACGACTGCACATTGTTTAACAATCGCTCTCGATTGTAGCACAGTCTATGATTCTCAATAACAATTATCGAGCTTGGCTTATTTTTGGTGCAGGGATTGTACTTTGCTATTCTTAGAAATACAAATTTTGTCCATTCTAACGATTTCGATACAGTTACGTTTAAGGGATGATTTCCGGAATAAAAAATACCTTATGACCTTCCCAGATTCACAAACTATCTTCTTACCGACTTTCATCCAAATCGGTTAATTAGATCCAGAGATTACCGCCTACAACGTCACAAACTCACAAACTTTACCTCTTTATAATATTAGTATATAAAGATTTTTCATAATTTGTTAAAATATAAAGAGATTTGAAATAGAGGCTTTAAATGTAGTTTCTATTATTGTTACAGATGAGATAATATTTTGTTATATTGTAAGTGTAATTTTTAAAATGTTTTTTTTTTATTTAAATTCTAGAAGTTAAATAAAACTACTATTGTTACAGAAATGCAATTAAGTCTTTATTTTTAAATCTATACATATAATAAAATTGTAACTAAGCCGAATCTGTACATTAAATTTTTTTGGAAATCTTTTTGAAATAGATATTATTATCGATACAGAGGCCGAATCTATGGTTTTTAGAATTTTTGTGTCTGTCTGTCTGTTACCGCATCACGGAAAAACCACTGGAGGGATTTTGATGAAATTTGGTATGATGATAGTTGGTTATCCGAGTCAACATATAGGAGACTTTATACTGCGGGAAAATATTGTACTAAACGTTAAAACGTAACTAGGGACGAACCCGAGCGGAGCGAAGGTGACTCGCTTGTTATATTATATGCATAAATAACTCACCCAAATAATCCACGTATCAACTGTCCCGAACAACAATCTCTTGTCCCTGCTCGCTCTTCTCACTGCCTTTATGTTATCCTTTAGCCATCTCATTTTCAATGCACTAAAATAAGGACTGATCGGTAACCCGGATATACCTTTGAGATAATTTTTATTTCTATCCGGCACTTTGGCTAGTATCGCATCTACTGTACTGTCTGTCCGTATGTCGTTCCATGCTGAAAAAAATATATTAAATTCCGTATCAAAATCAACTAAAAAAATCTGTTAAGTACACTAACTTCAAAGACACTTTAATAATAATAACTAATTTATTTATGCAAAAAATAGCTTATGCAATAAAAAGATCAGTTTACGATTCGCATAATAATACGTAACATACACAAAAAAATACATACGTAATCAGTTCTACCTTCTTTTTTTTGTCGGTCAAAACGAAAATTAGTAATATATTTTCATACATTATGCCCATGAACGAATTAACCACAATTCGTCCATGATTATGCCATACTTTTCCCTCAGACTAAAAAAATATATAAAGTTAGCCCGAAAAATTTTTTTTCAAATTCAAAACTAGTAGCGTAATTTAGCTATTTAAGCTACTTACTATTCATAAAAGAAAATGTATATATTTGATAGTAATTAATTTGCAATTTTTGTGAATAAAACACAAATAATAAAAATAATACTGCTACTTTTAATTTTTAAGCAATAGTTCTCTTCGACTTGAAAGAGAGATATAATAATATTAGCTAATTTTTTTCTTTATTATAATAAAACATTATCATTTGGCTTCATATTTCATTCTATCACACTCTGTCTATATTATTTTTTAGTCTGAGGCTTTCCCATATTAATAATAATAAATTAAATGATTAATAAATTAATAATAAGTTCTATATTATACTTTCTTAGATTTACGCGAATATTTGACATTTTAAATAAAACTATCTTTTCGGATTTTGTCGCGGATTTATTTGGATTTTTGTTTCCCGACGTTTCGAATGCTTTACAGCATCCATGGTCACGGGAGAGACGGGAGAGTCTCTCCCGTGACCATGGATGCTGTAAAGCATTCGAAACGTCGGGAAACAAAAATCCAAATAAATCCGCGACAAATCCGAAAAGATAGTTTTATTTAGAAAGTTCTATATTTCCAAAAATACTTACATATAGCGGGATGCAAAGGCTCGCCGGTGAACTTATCCCATGCTATCGTCGTTTCCCTTTGATTGGTTACGCCTAACGTCATTATATCATCTTTTGTGTAACCTGAAAAAGCATAATACTAAAATTATATATACGGGTTCGTCGTCTAGATACGTTTTTAAGGTTTATTATGGAATAGATAGACTATATATTATTACAAATAAACATAGATATGATGAGTTGTTGTGGGTTGTATTATAACGTGTTTTCCCGTAGGAATGAGAAAATCTTCCGCTATAAAAAGTAGCCTATGTCACTCTCCAGCCCTTCAACTATCTGCACATAAAAAATCACGCCAATCCGTCTCTCTGTTTCAACGTGAAAGAAGGACAAACAAATAAACAAACACGCTTTCACATTTATATAATTAATATAGATTTAAATTTTGATACAAAATACCAACCTTTATTGAAATATTTTTAGCTAGGACAGTTGCAGACTGTAAGACCTGGTTTTGACTTCTGGGTCAAATTAAAAATAATGACTTGATTTTCCGGACAAACACCTCCAATTTTATAGATAATTCACAAATCAAATCAAATTATAGGTCTTTATTCAAATAGACTTTTACAAGTACTTTTGAATCGTCAATTTCACATTTTAAATTTAAATTAAATGTAAATATGTAAGTCCGTAACGAATCTATCACCGATCTACTAAACTGTCACATGACGCCTCTAAAACCAATAGTTATACGAGATAAAAGATAATAATAATCTTATTTTAACGATAAATCTCTCTAATGTCTTCTCCATTCTACGTGACATTGGCGAAGTGACATGTGCTCTACTGGCATGCATTAAAGCCATTAACAAGATAATTAAATCGAGACAAAAGAAAGTGTTTAGGTAAAAAGGATCTAATAACACCTTTAAAGAATACGGAACCCTTAAAACAATAAAAATATTATAACTTATACATAAAACTCACCTAACTCATCCAATTGATCTATAGCGTTCTCAGCACACAACTTTATGTGGTGTATAATTTCCAAGGGGTCTTGCTCGTACCATCCCTCTTGAGGCTGCACTTCTGTTTTATCCAATTGATACGATACTAACTCTTCTGAACGTTCCGCTTCATATATCTTAAAAATAGAAAATGTAAACTATTGATATATGTACGTAGTTAGCCTAAAACTAAAGATTTCATATAAGTACTTCGTTTAGCACGTTTGGAAAAAAATATGAGAGTAAAAGTTTTACGATGCGCGCGCACCGACAGCCAAAAAGCGACATGATGAAGTTAGTTGCATTCCTTATGACATATGGGATGAGATCTTTAACTATTTTTGTTCTGTTACGCCAAAGAATTATAACTTATACTACATATGAACACACACACACGTTTTTTTAATAGTTTTATTTCCACTTGTATGTAACTAAAGCAAGCTTTAACCAAATTATTGTGGTATCGATTTGAATTTTAGCAAGAATGTATATGTAGTATATGTATGTAATTCATTAAAACCATATAAATTGGGCTCATTTGGTTATATAAATTGGTTCTCAATGATAGACCATACACACGTTTTTAGTTAAAATGTTAGTTTTCTATTAGTTTTAAAGCGAATAATATAGATGTATAGATATGGCATTAAAATAATTAAGTAAAAATATCTTCATTTCTACTTTTTAATACTTTACAAATTATTTTTTTCTAATGAAAGTCGTTACAAACAAAATTGACGATATTTAAATTACTTTAAAATACATTACACCTACAAAACCTTTACGTTGTTATTATCATCGACTGATCTTGAATATATTCAAGTCACGATATCTCGTGTATAATAAAGCTAAATAACTCTTTTAAACGAGGCTTGCTTATTTGGTACGTAAACAACTTTTAATGTTTTCGATTTGTCTTTGCTTCTAAGTTATGCCAAAAAAGTTGCCGATATATAAAATAGAATAATTAATAAAAACTTTTTAACAAAAAAATTAAAACCGACTTCAAAAAAAGCACTAAAAAGTAAGTCGGTGTGCTTTGCTTTGTATCGGCTGGCACCGACTTCGCAAATATGTTTGATTAGGTATGTATAGTAAATGAAAACTACCAATCAGTTATTTTTTACTTTTTCGTTCTTTTTTGAAGTCGGTTTTTATTTTTTTGTTAAAAAGTTTTTATTTTTTCCTTTTTAGTGTAGACATAGTAGTAGCAAAGTAAGAAGAAAGTATTTTAATAAAATATTCGCTTAAACCGTTGAAGTTACTTTGATGCCAATTTTTATACGAAAACTTACAAACTAAAATTCACTTTTATTAGTAACACTAAAAATTCTGCCTCTAAAATCCAATTCTACAATGTTAGGCTTGTCAAATCAAACAAAATAAGCCCAAACTCAAAGTATCTACTATTAGCCGTCGAAGAGTTCCACCTATCCACTTTCTGGCCTTATCATCAGACCAGGTCAACAATACCGAACCACTGTACTATCAACGGAAATAGAAACACTTGCAGAGTTCAAAGTTCAAGTCAATATGACAATTAGAAGTAGGTTAAATTCATCATTAGCTATTTTTCAACCCTTAGGGGTGGTATTTTTTTTGAAATTTAAATGGGACCAATCTGGAAGTATACACTTTCAAACAAAACAAAAATTGTCCAAATCGGTTAATAAATGACGGAGTTCTGAGGTAAAAAACATAAAAAAAGACAACCGAATTGAGAACCCCCTTCTATTTCAACCGACTTCAAAAAATGAAGATCAAGATTAATAATGCAAAAAAAACCGCATGAAAATTCGAAAACACGCGTTTTCCCAGACATAAGACTAATCTAGATCGATTTATCGTCCTGGAAACCCCTTGTATGCTTAATTTCATGAAAATCGTTGGAGCCGTTTCCGAGATTCAGATTATATATTGATATATATACGAGAATTGCTCGTTTAAATATATTAGATTAGATACATATGTATAGATAAAATAACCAATACAAAAAAGTTAGAAACTCCTCATGTGCTCCTAATTATTATTTGTAACAGAAGGCGACTTTCTCTGGCTTCTCTATGTGATGTTTTGAAGACTCCCCATCACCCTCGAAGACATTCAGTATGTTTATTTTGACACCTCATGGGTATGGAATATTCCAAGAGTACACGAATTATTTTGACTATTCAAAAATTTTAGATGAAATTTTCTTACGCTAAAAAGATAAAATTTCTTTATATGGCACACTTTGAAATTTAAAATAAAACTCTCATTTCGGATTTTTTCGTGGATTTATTTAGATTTTGGGTTCGCGACATTTTGAATGCTTTACAGCAATCGTGGACGCGGGAGAGATTAAGCATTTGTAACGTCGCGAACCAAAAATCAAAATAAATCCGCGAAAAAATCCGGAAAAAAAGTTTTATTAAAAAAAACAAATATTCGCATGAATCTAAAAAAGTAAGTATTATGAATTAAAGAAAATTGAAGATTTCATTGTTTAGGTACGTACCACAAATCTGACTGTCTTTGTTCCATCGTCGATGACGCCCACAAGAGACTTTTTGGCGCCGTCCCTAACAGGCATCTCGTCCCCTGAAAGCAAAATTAATGTCGCATTCAAAAATCATTTTTCGCATGTGTACCTATATGTTTAAGAGAATCACATGTTTTACGAAAATAGATTCGTGTAACGATACTAGTTGTTTTTTAAGAATGCATTTTTGTAACATGTAAGATCTCACTACCGATATAGGGTTTTCCTAATATAATAAGTTTATCTGTTGTCATGTTTCTCAAAGGTGTTTGAAAGTTTAATATATCCCAAACTTGCTAAATACTTCAATAATATCTTCATTAGTTCACAGCATGGGTTTAGAACTGGGTTATCAACCCAAACAAACCTAGTCGTGTTGGTTTCTGACTTGGCGTTAGCGATGGATAAGGGGGAACAAATTGATGCCATATACACTGATTTTAGTAGTGCCTTCGACAAAGTGGACCATAAAATACTTCTTGATAAGCTATATCAGTATGGACTGGGGATTTCGTTAGTTAAATGGTTTAAATCATATCTTACTCAAAGACCATTAACCGTCAATGTCACAGGATTTGAATCGGAAACATATTTTGCTAAAAGTGGGGTGCCGCAAGGTTCACATTTGGGACCTCTATTGTTTCTTGTTTTTATAAACGATATAACCGAAAATATTAAGTACTGTAAATGCTCATTATTTGCGGACGATCTTAAATTATATAAAACGATCACATCAAGTGATGACATAAATTTGATCCAGGATGACCTTAATAATATCACCGAATGGTGCCGCCATAATCATATGACTCTTAATGTTAGCAAATGTTTTCACATTAAATTTACTCGAAAAAAAAACCACTTGTGTCTAAATATACTATCGGAAACGAATTAGTGAAAGAAGTATCTGAGATCAAAGATTTAGGAGTCACTATTGACAGCCGTTTAACTTTTATTTCGCATATTGATAAAACTATCCATAAAGCCGCACAAATTCTAGGTTTTATCAAGCGGAATGCACATGGTTTCAGTAGGGCAACAAAAATTGTTTTATTCAACGCATTGGTACGCAGTTGTCTTGAATACGCTAGTGTGGTTTGGAATCCTATGTATAGTGTTCATTCCCAACGCATTGAGAGCATCCAACGCACTTTTACAAGATATCTTGCATTCTATGAAGAGAATCTCTCTCACAGACAGCCTTATCGCGAAAGATTGGATAAGTTCAATATTCTATCTCTCCGTGATAGGCGCGAAATTCTTGACTTAAGATTTTTACATAACATTATACACAATCAAGTTCTGAGCCCAGATTTAATGGAAAGTATTTCAATATCTGTCCCCTCCAGAAATCCTAGGAACAAGGTCCATAATATATTTTTCATACCTAGAGTGAGATCTAACCTGGGTAGCCAAGCCCCTGTTTTACGTATCTGTGCTAAATATAATAACCTTCAGAAATCGATACCAAGCATTGACATTTTTCACGATTCACCCTCTGTTTTTAGACGTAGGCTATTAGATTACTTTAATAAAAAAAATACATAATAATTTAAATTTAGGTAGTAATTAATTTTTTACTTTTCTTACTTTTAACTATTGTTTACAGTGAACGCTATGTACACTTGTTATAGATATACATATCAGGTAGTTAATTTATATTACTAATAAGATTATCAGAAATGTTTTATATGTGTATTGTTAGTGTGCTTTATAAATAAAATAAAATAAAATAAAATCTGTAATATAAGTGAAGTTCTAAATTTTGCATTTTTTTTTCGAAATTTATGACTTAGTTTTATTTTCGTATTTCTCCGAAAATTATTCCCATATCTAAAATACATTAACACATACCACCTGCATACAGGTGGTTTTGTAAAACTCACCGGTCAGAACCCAGTACGACCCTATAAACCCCTCCCACCACGACAGGGTCTAGATTAATTTTGTATAGTTTTTTTTTCATAATATATTATCTATTTTCGTAACTTTTTATAATACTATTAGTGCAAATAATAAAGAAAAAAAAAATAAAATTAGATAATACTACGCTGTAATACGCATTACATTGATTAGCGTCCAATTTTCATACATCATCGACCTTTGGCGTACAACTCTGTACTGTATAAAAAACAACAGAGTTTGATGTATTTTTAAATATGACACCTACCTACATTTTTAACTCTACACAATAATTTCCTTAACAATTAGTTTGGACATAACAACTATTTCTTCAAAGAAGAGATTTCTGTACGATTATATTATTACTAGCATTGCCTGCGGCTCCGCCCGCGTTCAGATGACCAAAAACCAAATTCTTAGGTTTTACAGATTAGTATACTCTTACATTGCAGTTTTAGCATTTTTGCTCAGAAATGAGATATTTTCCCGCGGTAAAAAGTATCCTATATGTTGACCCAGATAACCAGCTAGCACCATACTAAATTTCATCAAAATCCCTTAAATGGTTTTTCTGTGATGCGGTAACAGACGGACAGACAGACAGACAAAAATTCTAAAACTATAGTTCGGCCTCTGTATCGATAATAATGTTTAATTCAATAAGATTTTCCAAAAAATATTTAATGTACAGATTCGGCTTAGTTACAATTTTATTATATGTATAGATTAGTACTGAATTTAGATTGTTTCCATTTAATTATTCGATTTTAATACAAAAGTTTAAAACAGTATGAGTAAACAAGAACAATGGACCAATAAAATAACCACGTATTATAGATAATGGCAAGTATAATCTTAAGTTAGTTTCCACGTTTACAGTAATAAATATGGCCTTGACGTTGAAAAACGTAATATTTTCTCATATTTTTCAAGGTTATCAGATCTAGAGTATGAATTAGGTGATTACAAAATTGATTTTCACGTTATATAAATTAATATAAGTATTGGTGATATCAATAGCTACTGATAAAGTAAAGCCGGTGGGCGGAGATACTTGCTGGACAGAATTAATGCAGAGTCAAGGCTAAATAGTGATGACTTCCGAGTGCCAAAATAATATTGTATCCAGCCCTTCTCAACGTCCCACTGCTGGGCACGGGCATCCTCTCAATGCGAGGGGGATCAGGCCGTAGTCCACCACGCTGGCCAACTTCACATGTCTTTCGATAATTTGCTAGGTTCTCTCAGACAAGCAGGTTTGATCACGATTTATTCCTTTACCGTAAAACATGTGGTAATAATGTTGAAAAATAATATTACTTAAGAAAGTAATACAAGTAGAAATTGTACAAAGATTTCTGATACCAGCTTCCATTGATGAGATTTAAACATATACCTAAGTCTTTACCAGATTTCAAATTAGCAACCTATTGAGATCATTTGGTTTGCAGTTGGAAAATGTAAGAGAAAACTCAAAAATGGCATAGAGTTTTTTTTACTTCGAATAAAAAAAGGTTTCTACGAGATAGATGAAAGGTTTACTGTTAGTCAATTTCAGCGGAATTCAGCTTATCCTAGACTGATTCCATTAGATCTCATTGTTATAGTACTTGCCATTAAACCCATAACGTCGATGCGCGACATAATATTTCTGAATTGCTAAACAACAATCTATACAATGATAATAAAATTGTAGTATTGTAAAGTCGAATATGTACATTAAATATTTTTTGAAAAATCTCATTGAAATAGACATAATTATCGATACAGAGGCCGAATCTATGGTTTTTAGAATTTTTATCTGTCTGTCTGTCTGTGACCGCATCAAACTGATGTATCATAAAATTGATGTTTATAATCACAACAGATTTAACGCGGGTGAAACCGTGGGTACAGTATTATATAAATATGTACATAGTGACGAACCCGAGCGAAGAAAGGGTGAGTCGTTTTATAACATAAAGTGAAAGAGTTTTTATTGTAGATTGAACGCGGGAGAAGAAGCTTGTTCTGCTAGTTATATAATATGAAATTAAAATAAACTTTATTCAAATAGACTTATTAAAATAATAGAAAAGTTATGCCATGTTATATTAAGACAAATAGTCTGGCAAACTGTAAAAAATAATATTAAGTATAAATGGTTGCTACATGCAATGTCTCTGCCTAATAGTAATCATAATTTAAGTAATCTTATAACCCTAAGCGCATGCCACTCATACATTCTCCCTAAGATGAAGAAAAACAAAAATAAAAAAGAAGACAAAAGAAGATTTTTTATAAGAAGTGACGTGTTAAGTTTAGTAACAACTCTTGCTCTTTCAAAACTCACCCATAAACGCATGTATAAATAGATACCTGTTACTACAGCGATGCCAGAGGGTAGTAGCTACTTCCGCCACTGAGAGGGCTTTTGATCCTAATGGTGTTAGTTGGCAAAGCTCTCAAAGCCTTAATGAAATTATATAATTGGAGATGATTTTCAAACCAATATCAAGTAGACATTGAGTAGAAAATAAGGAGGCTTTGTAAACATTATTTACATTGGAAAATAAAAACAACGATTTCATTAGAAGTAGAAAAGTATTAGTATAAATTACAAATTTATTAGCAATTTGTATTCTTGTAAAGATTTTTAAGCAAAGATATAACTAAAATCACATGGCTTGTGATGTATAATTTTGACAAAAGTGCCCTTTTAGATCCGGCTTTTCTTATCAAATTTAATTTGTGCCACATTTAAACTCAACCCTGTGTAATTATTTAAACAGGATTGAGTTTAAAAGTGGCACAAACTGACTAATAAAATGAAAAGGCTCAGTCAGATTAATCTCATGGACAGATAATGTTCTAAAAACAATTTTAAAAATACTAAAAAGAGGCATTACATTTAAATCTTGAACGCAATAACTCGATATTCATAAGTCTTTCTTTACTTGTGTATCTCAGTGGTAACGCGCTCGCTTGGAAAACCGAGTGAAGCTGGTTCAAATCCCGAGTCACGCATTTCTGATATTTTCATGTGCGAATCATTCCCAACATGATTATCACTTGTCTTACGGTGAAGGAAAACATCGTGAGGAAACCTGCATTTCTGAGAGCACCTAGCGAGTTTTCGAAAGACATGTGCAGTCTTCCAACCTGTTCTTGGCCAGCGTGT